ACCCGGGTCTATGGTAGACCCAACCTCCAGGAGGCCAACGGTTTTAAACCTTACCCGGGTCTATGGTAGAACCCGAAAATGATATGCATCTACATTCCGTAAGCTACCAAAAACCAGTGAATAGCAAATGAATGACTTCACATCGATCAGTGGCTTATATGTACATATTAGCCGCAATAGCATTGGCAGATGCAAAGAAACTTCACTTATGACTTTAAGATCAAATTAAAAATGTTGCTCGCCAGTTTTTAGTTGTGTTTTACATGTCGTCTAGCCCCCTCTCGGGAACAATCTTTGTCCGTTTAAACTCTGTTGGAGGGGCGCATCATGACTGAACTTGACCATTTCTTCTCGTTATTCGATGGATCCTCCCTTCTTTTTCCTAGTAGGTTCTAGCAGGGGCAGACCCATACATGTCTGAGCGGGTTCCATTGCACCCGCTCAACTTATTTTCACAAGTAAGGGGCCGTTTACCAAACACTTGCCCGGTAAGCATTTACCAGTAAAATTCAATACTATTTTTTACTTACCGGGTAAGAATTTAGTCAACAAAAATGGTTTTCTACGCATCAATTTACCCGGTAAGAGCTGACTGTTGTAAAAGTCATTGCCCTCACTTACCGGGTAAGACTCTCAGTCCTTGTCTCGTTCTTACCGGGTAAGATTTTTGGTTTTTACCATATTCATCCGGTAAGGTAATACAACTTGGTAAGTGCTTACCCAAATGAGTATTTGGTAAACGGCCACTAAGATTCTTTTTGAGGTGTGTAAGGTGCACCCGCTAAAATTTGGAGTGTTCCGGTATATAAGAAAAAAATACCAACATCAACCAAAAAAGTGAAAAAAATCTCTTGAAGTCAACCAAAAGAACCAAAAACCGGCCCTCAAAATTGACCAAAAAGCTTAAAAATCCCTCAAAATCAACCAAACAACTTAAAAAATCCCTACAAACAATGGGATTCAGCTAAAAAACACATCGGTCGACTTTGCGGGTATGTGATTCACCTCAAACGCGCACCCAGTTAGATAAAATCCTAGGTCCGCCACTATTCCTAGCATTCTTACAGGAATCAGTGGAAGCATATGCATAAACTTTTCATCGAAACCAAAATTGGCCAACAGCATCGCAAGTGAGAACAATTTTGCAACTACGCAACGAAACACTGGTCTGTTAATTTCGTAACAGCGAGAAAAATCAATCGATCCAACCTAAACCGATTGGCTGACTATTGGGACAGACCCAGGTGGGGTGCATGTGGTGCATACTTCTACGTCCGTCAAAACCGTTTTGAACTCTAACCCTCCCAAACCACAATTGGAAACATAAACACCGTAATTAAACCAGATCTACCACAACAAAAGCCAAAAACAACGAAAACGAATGATATATATATATATATATATAGAGAGAGAGAGAGAGAGAGAGTACCATATTTGCGAGGATCGACGGTGTTCTGGAATTGAAGAACAGCTACAAAACACGAAGAGTGTAGAGTGAACAAGAACGATAAACAGCAAACCACCGCTGTGACGTGTCCGCCGGAGAGGCTTCGAAAGACACCTGCCGGCCATATTTTCCGGCCACGTGGCTGTCGTTGCGATCGTACACGAATCTGGCGGGTGATTGGGCGGTTTTAGTTTTGCAGGTATGCTTCGTCGTTCACATGGGATTCGGCCGACTGGAATCATGTCAACTTTTTGACTCCAATGGGAAACTTTCGTACCGGTTTGAATATGCAAACGTCAAAGTTTTACCAAAAGTATTTTTTTAATAACGGGAGAGACTAAAACTGTTGGAATTAGTCAACAAGGTAGTGGGTTTTTATTTATTTATTATTTTCTTAGTTGGTGGAGTAGTGGTCTCCGGTTTCTTTGCTTTTCTGTTGTTTTATTTTTGTATAAATTCTACGTACCTTCAATGAAAATGGTGAGAGCTTTCATTAAAATACCTGTGTTCAATACAAGTGTGTGCTAAGTTTTCCACATTTGATGTCAGAGGTTTCGCAAGGGGCCTGATAGAGAGTTCTGTGAGAGTGAAGAATTCTGTTCTAAGTGATTCAAGACGATGGCAACAGATAACAATTTCACAACACCGTGTGTGCCCAAATTCGAAGGAGACTATGATCACTGGAGTTTACTTATGGAGAATCTCATGAGGTCAAAAGACTACTGAAGTGTGATCGAAAATGGCGTCGAGCAACCAGGCAAGGATGGATCCCAGGGAACGGCTCAACAGAAAGAAATTGAAGAAGCAAAGATGAAGGATCTAAAGGCTAAGAATTACCTGTTCCATGCCATAGACAAGTCGATACTCAAGACTATCACTCAGAAGGATTCGGCGAAGGAGATTTGGGATTCAATGAAGACAAAGTACCAAGGAAGTGCACGTGTGAAGCGGACTCAACTGCAAAGGTTACGGAGAACCTTTGAGACATTAGAAATGAAGGTCGGGGAGTCAATTTCAGACTACTTTGGGAGAGTTATGAATGTCAGCAATGACACGAGGAATTGCGGCGAGGATCTGGAAGATGTTAAAATTGTTGAGAAGCTTTTGCGTACATTGACAGAAAACTACAATTTTGTGGTTTGCTCCATTGAGGAATCTAAGGACATCGATCAACTTTCAGTCGATGAACTTCAGAGCTCTCTTTTGGTGCATGAACTAAAAGTACGAAACAAAGAGATGGATGAACATGTCTTAAATACATAACATGAATACCGAGGAGGACGAGGAAGAGGTAGAAGCAGCTACGGGAGAGGAGGAGGCAGATATGGTCGAGGTCGAGGTCGAGGACGATTCAGAACGTTCAGTCAATCCATGGTTGAATGCTATAGATGCCATAAATTAGGGCATTACCAATTTGAGTGTCCCAATACAGAACGAGGAGCAAACTATGCGGAACTCAACGAAGAAGAAGAATTGCTTTTGATGGCACGTGCAGATATGGAAGATACGGAAAAAGAAGATACGTGGTTTCTTGACTCTGGCTGTTCCAACCACATGACTGGGAGTCGAAAGTGGTTTGTATGTATGGATGAATCTTTAAGACATACGGTGAAGCTAGGAAATAATCACAGGATGCCTGCAATGGGGAAAGGAAATGTTCGATTCGAAGTTGATGGGATTATGCAAACAGTAACAGATGTGTTTTATGTACCGGAGCTGTCAACTAATTTGCTAAGCATGGGTCAGTTACAAGAGAAAGGATTAGTCATTTCAATCAAAGGAGGGTACTGTAAAATATTTCATTCCGAGAGAGGTTTGATTTTTAATACAAGAATGACTACCAATCGAATGTTTTTCATCTCGGCCATAATAAAGCCACTCGAAGCAACCTGTATGAATGTTGTAGGAGTGAACTTGGTAGAGCTTTGGCATCAAAGATTTGGCCATATGAACAACAAAAGTATTCGAACGATGCAAGAAAAGGAACTTGTCAAAGGGTTGCCAAAGTTACAATCTTCATCCGAAGTGTGTGAAGTATGCAACAAAGGGAAACAACATCGTGAACCATTCTCTAAACAAAGCAAATTTCGAGCCACGGAAAAGTTACAGCTACTACATGCGGATCTATGTGGTTCGATTTCACCTGCGTCTCACAGTGAGAAAAGGTATGTTTTCACTATTGTTGATGACTTTAGCAGAAAAATGTGGTTGTATTTCTTATGTGAAAAAGCAGAAACGCTCAATACATTCAAGTGTTTCAAGAGAATAAGTGAGAAAGAAGCGGGGAAACCAATACGTTGTTTRAGGACCGATAGGGGTGGGGAGTTCAACTCTCTAGAGTTCAATGCTTTCTGCAGAGGAGAAGGTATTACGAGACAACTCACTACATCATACACCCCTCAACAGAACGGAGTTGTCGAGCGAAGAAATCGAACAACAATGAATATGGTACGTTGTCTTCTCACCGAGAAGAACATGCCAAAAACATTCTGGCCTGAACTGAAAATTGGGCTACTCACGTTATAAATCGAACCATGACAACGGCTGTCCAAGACATGGTTCTCGAAGAAGCATGGAGTGGAATTAAGCCAAGTGTGGAACATTTTCGTGTGTTTGGGTGTATAGCAAACGTTCATGTTCCTCAACAGCGGAGAGTAAAACTGGACAGCAGAAGCAACAAATGTATTTGCTTGGCGTTAGTAATGAATCTAAAGCTTATAGGCTTTATGACCCTATCACAAGGAAGGTTATTATCAGTCGTGATGTCATCTTTGAAGAGAAGAGAAAGTAGGACTGGAATAAAGTGAAAGATGAGACGTTGGATTTGGGAGAAGACAATCCAAGCGACAATGATACGTACTAAGTATTTAGTACGTAAAGTACCTTTTTATTCTCTTTTAGATAGGTTATTTTGCTTTCATATCCCAATTTTGAGTCATTTTGTCTCTTTTCTCTATTTTTATGCTAAGATGAATGAGGAACCTGTGTTTAGTGGAATTTGACCTAAATTGACCTTGTTTTGGACAGATTGAAGCCAGCGGATGCTACGAGATTGTGGTAGCAAGAACTGATGGTTGACAGCAAGATGCAAGAGACTTGGAGATGTTGACATGACTTTGGGAGGACTTTTGAAAGCTTGCTAAAGCTTTAATCTGATGTATTTTGAACTGATTTGTGATTTGTAACAAGACTAATATTAGTTACCTTCTAATTACTAGTTTGTATCATGTACTTTTAAGTTGGTTTTGAACTAGTTGTGGGTGAAAAGACCATTTTGCCCCCATAAATCCTTTGTATAAATAGGGGATTGTTGGGAGGAGTTTAGACACACCTCAACACCCACTTTCACCAACTTCTTTCTCTCTAGATCCTTTGTTCCCTCTTCAAGTAGTTTGCATGCTACTTGAAGAACAAGTCTTAATATTATAAATCTTTTGGTTACATTTCAAGTTCTTTAATCGTTTTCCATTTACTTGCTTTATTTAATCGCTTTATTTATATTATCGTTATTTATATTCCGTCGTTAATTTATTTACGCTAACTTGCATTATATTTCCGTCATTTATTAGGCTTTCCGCATCTTTATTATTCCGTCATTTATATTTCGTCATTTACTATCCGCATTTAGTTTATGTCTTTACTTATCGCAATTTACATTTCTCGTTATTTACTTTTCGTCATGAGTAGCTAACTTTATTAGCTCGGGTGTATGACGAAAAAGGTGGGTTTTTAAACCAAAATATAGTCGACCCTTTCATGTAACAACAATGTTTTACTTTTTCATTTCAAGTTTTATAAAACTAATGACACTTCTTGACGGGTTGATCACTTTGAAAGTGTTAAAGTGTCTTTGACTCTAAGCTGAGCCAATGTTTGTACGTCAACTTGGATGATATGGGAAGTAGACTTGAGAGAGTTGCTAACAAAGAGATTTGTTGTCCGTATTTTCTAAATTGTTAATTCTCGACGGGTTGATCACTCTGAAGTGTTAAAGTGGAATGGATTCAGAGATGAACCATTCAGAACACGTCAACTTGAATGATATGGGAATCCACTCGAGAGGGTGATTTTTAACAAAGAGATTTGTTTGTCCATATACTTTGAAGACACCATTTGTCACTTTCACTGGTCTGGATACCTCATAGAGATATGGGTTGAAAGCTATAATATCAGTACATTGGTGAAGTCCGAGAGGAATACCTTCAAAATAATTGGTAAAAATAGTTGTTACTGATTGCATGCTGTAGTAATCTGTCAGCATGGTTTCATGCTGTAGCATTTTGACAGCATTGGTCGACTGGAGATAATTTTTACTTCTCACCCTAAAAGTCATACACCCTAGCTTGCTTTATATTCTGTTATCTCCTGTTTTTAGTTGTATTACCTCTGTTCTAATCAAAGTCTTCAAAATCGCCTTCTGAAATCATTTCCTTAACCTTACTTTTTTTTTAAACTTTTACTACGATCCCTGTGGACGATATCCGGTACTTGTACCACTTTTATTACTTGAAAAACGATATTAGGACTATTTGTATACTTGCTTTTGGTCCTAATTGTTGTTTGTGGCTGTGGTTTCACGACCCATCAGGCAACCAAGATAACAAGAATGATGGAGTCGTTGATATTCCTCAATTGGCAGAGAAAATAGATGAAAGGGAAGACACACGTGAACAAGAAAATGAAGTTGACAACGATGTTGAAGTCTTTGATTTTCCTCAATCGGCAGAAAAATCAGATGAGAGGGAAGTCAGACGTGACAAAGATGCGCCTAAGAAAAGAACAAGAAAGGGGCCTATGTGGATGAGCAACTACGAGACTAGTGAGGGTCTCTCCGAGGGTGAACGAGAAGACAAAGAAGCCAAAGAAGCTGAAGCAGATTATGCATATTTCACACAGCTCGGAGACCCATTAACTTACACAGATGCAGTCAAAGGAAAAAAATGGTGTGATGCTATGGGAATTGAAATGAAAGCAATTGAGAAAAATGACACTTTGGAGCTAGTAGCACCCCCTGCAAACAGCAAAATCATTGGTGTGAAGTGGATTTACAAGACAAAATTAAAGGAAGATGGGAGCGTGGATAAGTTCAAAGCTAGATTGGTGGCTAGAGGTTACTCTCAAAGACAAGGAATCGATTACAATGAAGTGTTTGCAGCTGTGGTTCGTTGGGACACTATTAGGATTATGCTCGCAGTGGCTGCTCGAAAGGGGTGGATCGTAAATCAGTTTGACGTAAAATCAGCATTCTTGTACGGTGAGCTAAATGAGAAGGTCTATGTGATGCAGCCGGAAGGGTACATCAAGTGTGGGAATGAAGATAAGGTATATCGTCTCAAGAAAGCCTTATACGGGTTGAAGCAAGCTCCACGAGCTTGGTATAGCAGAATTAAGGCTTACTTCGATCGAGAAGGTTTTCAAAGTTGCAGCCAAGATCACAGCCTATTTGTCATGCGATTTGGAGAAAAATTCTTAATGGTTAGTCTTTACGTTGATGACTTAATATATGCTGGAAATGATATTAGGATGTGTGATGAGTTTAAAGATTCAATGAAGAGAGAATTCGAAATGAGCGACTTGGGAAGAATGAAATACTTCCTCGGAGTAGAAGTTCACCAAAGTTCAACGGGGATTTTTCTTAGTCAGAAGAAGTATGCAAAGGAGGTACTTGAAAGATTTAAGATGTGGAACTGTAATCCTGTCAAGAACCCAATTGTCCCAGGAACAACTCTTTCAAAGAACTCTGAAAGTAAGGAAGTTGATGCTACTCTCTTTAAGCAACTTGTGGGCAGCCTGTTGTACCTGACGACCACTAGGCCCGATATCATGTACGTTGTATGTCTCATCAGCAGATTCATGGCAAAACCTCTGGAGGAGCACCAGCAAGTTGCAAAACGAGTCTTGAGGTATGTAAAAGGGACTCTAGACTTTGGAAATATGTATAAGGCAGATGATGTTTGTGGATTGAAGGTTTATACCGATAGCAATTATGCTCGTGATATTGATGATAGAAGAAGCATATCAGGATATGTGTTTCTGTTAAGTGGTGCATCTGTATGCTGGAGCTCGAGAAAACAACCCATTGTTACTCTAAGCTCTACCGAAGCCGAATACGTTGCGGCTACCTCATGTGCATGTCACAGTATATGGGTGAAAGAAATTCTCGAGCAATTGACGTACTCTCAAGGTCAGGGTATTGAAATATTTTGTGACAATAGTTCATCAATCAAGCTCTCGAAGAATCCGGTTATGCATCAAAGAACTAAGCATATTGATGTTCGATATCATTTTTTACGTGACCTGACAAATCAAGAGGTGGTGAAGCTGTCGCATTGTGGAACAAGTGATCAGATAGCAGATGTCATGACTAAACCTGTGAAGCTTGAAACTTTTGTCAAGATGCGTGCTTTGTTGGGTGTGCAACAAAATGAAGTATAAACTGGATACTTCTATGAAGTACTTCCAGTTTAGGGGAAGATTTGTTGGAATTAGTGAACAAGGTAGTGGGTTTTATATTTTCAAGGTAGTGGGTTTTTATTTATTTATTATTTTCTTTAGTTGCTAATAATCCCTAGTCTTTTATTTATTATTTTCTTTGCTTTTCTGTTGCTTTATTTTTGTATAAATTCTGCGTACCATCAATGAAAATGGTGAGAGCTTTCACTAAAATACATGTGTTCAATACAAGTGTGTGCTAAGTTTTCCACAAAAACCGACAAATTCAATTATAAAGCATGATATTTTGGATAACTTATTTTTAAAACTTTTTATTTTGATATGTATAATTTTAAATATTTAAGTAACCGGGTAACCGGTTGAAGATTAATTTTAGATTGAAAAAAAAAAGACTACTTTTAAATTAAAAAAATTAATATCACTAACCACGTTAGCAACTAATATTGAGTTGGATATCACATCACTCGCCACATCAGCATGATGACTAGTTAATGTTTCAACCAGTTACCCAGATACTTAAATGTTTAAAACTTTACATCTTAAATATCAAAATGTAAGTTTTGAGAGTATGTTACCCAAAATAAAAATCAAGTTAAAATATTTTATTTTTTCATGAATTTACCCAAAATAAAAGCAATCGAAAGGAAAAATAAATATGTTTTTATTTATTTTTTTGAAATGGAAGAAAAAGATATGAAATAAATTTTCTTTCCATGTTTTTAAAACACGATAATTGATTAGGCGATCAAAATGATCAAGGAGACGTTTGGTTCGTTAGAATCCACCGAAATTGATGGAATTGGAATGATCAATTTCGTTGACCAAATTTCATTCAGACGTTTGGTTACCCGTGGAATAGAATTAAATTCCAAACATTCCCTTAAATGTGGATTTGATCATTCATTCATAAAAGTGTTGAAATTGAAATCCATTCCAACCAATATTTTGAAAATGACAAAAATACCCTCATTGAAATAAAAACCTAGGTGCTAAACTCCTTCACGATCAATTTCTCCCTCTCAATCGACAGATTATTCTGGTTACTCTCCTTCATCGGTTGAAGTCTGGACTCCTTCATGATCGATTTCTTCCTATGTGAATCCTTCACCGATAAATTTCTCAAATTCCATTCGATTTCTCATACCTGTACTGATCCAAATTACGTAGCCCATGTTCTCTAAAACCTATGGTTTCAACTTCATTATGGATTTCGACCTTAACTCTAACGAGCGTTAGATTCATTTGTTATATGCCCCACGTGAGGGCAATATAGTCATTTTGTCCCCCAACTCTCCCCTCTCCAAACAAAACGCTTCTCTCCATGACTCCTTTAATTGGTTTGAAGTCCCCCCTCCTCCCTAACTAAAGACTCCTCAACATTGTGGGTCTATTTCGACTTCAACTTCTGCATTTATATACAGAAGGTAACAGCCAACAACCAAGCGATAATGAATGAAATCAATTGTGATTAAACGAAACCGACTTTTATAAGTAAAAATGGAATCAGTGATGATGGGGTGGTCAAAGGCAGACCTATTATATTCCGAGCGGGATTTTCTTCACTCGTTTAGTCTTATATTGTAAGAATTTTTTTGGGTGACGAAAAAGTCTTTCGAAATCAACCAAAAAACCGAAAAAGTCTTTCAAAATCAACCAGAAAACCAAAAAAGTCATCAAAATCAAACAAAAATACCGAAAATACCCTAAAGATCAACCAAAAACTTGAAAAATTGCTTGAACGGTGGAATTTAACTAAAAACACATAGAGTGACTTTGCAGGTCTTTTATCCATCTTAAAGGTGCCTCCACTCAGTAAAAATTATGGGTCCGCCATTGGGGTGGTAGTTGAGGACATATACTTTTACAAATCTATACCCTAATTTTATTTACATAAAATTACAACATACCAAATGACCAAAATACCCTCGTGTAACTTGCACATGAGGGACACTTAAGGGATGGCCCTAACATCCGTTAAGCCAAATACAAAATCCGCAATAAAATAGAAACCATAGGGTTAGTGGTTTAATTTTCAAACTCTATAGACGGTAACCAGAGTATGCACGTATTTTTTTTCATTAACCTGGATATCCAACCCGCTATGTGAGCCGACTAATCTCAGGACGACCATCTGCTTTGCAGATAGCCCGGAGTCACCGCATTTGAACCTCCGCGGCCATAAAGGAATTTTTATTGCTCATTGGATTTGAACCTGGGATCTCCTGATACTTTTAACCTTTAGAGTCAAGCTCAAACCAATCAGGCACCATCCTTGTGGTTGTATGCACGTATTTTTATACTTTACTCTTTCAGATTCGACAAAGGCATAACAAGTCAACAACTGTTGTGATACCTTATGACGTCACTCAAGGAATAATCGACAACAATTAACATGTTCTTTTTTTTTTTTTGAAGTATATAATATATTTTATATACGACAAATACAACAAATAAACTCACACACTCAAAAGCCCTTTTGGTGAGGTTTGAACCCTGACCTCCTCGGAGGCAAAAGACTCAAATACCGCTAGATCAAATGCCCTTTTGGTAACGATTAACATGTTTTATTACACAACGATTTACATTTGTACAAAAAAGACCAGTATATAAAAATAAATTAAACGAATAAAATACTTTCACCAAAAACGATACCCAACACCAATGTAACTTTCACCGGTTTATATATACTGATACACCGTAAAAGTTACGAGATGAGAGATCTGAACTGATGTTGACATCAGTTCGACGAGTTTCAACCATTTAAACAAGTTTATTTAAAATAAAATTTTAAAAAAAATAATCAAAAGTTCTCCTTGTGGAAGTCAAATTTGGTAGAAGTTTTGTGAGAGAAATCTGAAGCTAGTTGTTTCAACTCTTTTACTGGTGCCGGTGCTCCACAATAAAATACCCCTGCAATTTTCAAAACTCGACATGTTAGAAGAAAAAAATCCACTCCAAAATAATGTACGTTTTGATGAGCATAAAATATAGGCATCAAAACGTATATATATGATAGATTTTGTAATTGTTACTCTCTTCGGGTTGGGATCACGTGAGACAAGACTGTTTTCGTGAAACACGATTTTTACACTTGAAACTCCACATTCATTTTGTTGTGGAGTTTCAAGTGTAAAAATCGTATCTCACATGATCCCAAGTCTACTCTCTCCATCCCAAAATAAATGTCAACAATAACAAAAAGCACAGAGTTTTTAAAATGTTTGATTATCAAACTTTTTGATTAATCAAATGACAATTTTACCCTTCATAATAAATTGAGTAATTAATTTCTCGATTTGGTAATTAAGGGTAGAATTGAAAAGTTGCACTATTTTTTAAACTTCTTATTTTGGGACGGATGGAGTACAAGACGGAGAGAATAGAGAGAAACTCACCAACACGGGAATCGGTGTGTGTAAGAGCGATCCGCTTATAAACGGTTCGCCAATTCGGCTTAGCGAAATGCGACTTCACTCGGGTTCCCGAGACGACATCGACACCGTTCTTGGCATGATTAAGTGACTGAAGCATCGTGATGAGGGCGGACCGAGCATCGCCTTCTTCGTAAACGCTCGTGCAATAATTGTGCATCTCGATCACTCCGTTTTGATCCATTTCGGCAACCTCGTTCATCACTCCTTTGAACCAATCGAACGACCCTTGTTCTCTTGTGACCCAATAGAAGTAAGCTCTCGTTGTCCTGAAGTTGGTCGTGTTCTTCTTCGATAGTGGCGATCCTGGCGGCAACTGACCGTTGCCGCCGTTTTCCAAGGCTTCTTCTTCCTCCTTTTTGGCTTTCATGTTATTCACGATGTCTTTCACGATACTGATCATTGGGGTTGCTCCGATACCTAATCCCACGAGCAACACCACATCGTATTTCTTGTAGTCTTGTGCTGGCGCTCCGTATGGCCCGTCAATTAGAACTTTCGGGAAACTGTCGATAAATTTGATTGAGAAAGTTAGGAAACAAGTGGGGATTTTGATCAAAGAAATCCACATCATTGGCCACATCAAAAAATAATATCGAGTTGTATGCCACGTGTAACCGGTTAATGTTTAAACATGTTACCTATGTACTTAAATGTTTGAGGTGTTACATCTCAGGTACCAAAATTAAGGTTTTGAAAGTACGTTACCCAAAATATAAATTAGAGCAAAGTACGTTATATTTTCCGGCAATTTGCCTTCATTTTTGTTGTTCGAGAACAAGAAGTTATAATGAAAACCAAGAAATCGTGATCCGAATACTTACTTTGCAATGCCTCCTTGATTCTCAGCTCTTAGCAGTCCACTTTTGCCGTTAGCCGGTGGTTGACATACCTGAAAAAGACCAAAATCGACACCGGTTAGCTGATAATGGACCATCATAGGCACCTTAAACGTACCATGGTTCGTTTCAACTTATAAACCGGCTTAGTCCGGTTGGAGTCCAACATAAGCTAGACTCATATCTGTATATCTGTATATATATATATATATATATATATATATATATATATATATATATATATATCTGTGTATATATATATATCTGTATATATATATATATATGTGTGTGTGTGTGTGTGTATACAGTATATATGTGTGTGTGTAGAGGGGGTTCAGGTGAAAACCCCAAAAACAGATGAACACCCTAGTAACCATTCATTAGCACGACATGCACACGTCCATACAAGTAATTAAAGTTGTTTCTTGGTTACTATGCACGTTTGCATGTTATGCACATGTGCATACCAGACAAATTACTTGTATACACATGTGCATACTGTACAGATGAATGTAACGGTTATCAGGGTGTTTCTCAGTTTTTTTTGTTTTTTTTATGATTTTCCCCGAACATGACCCTATACACACGTCCCCTATCTATAAGTGCCCTTTTTCAGAAAGATATTCAAAAAGGGGTTCCATGTATCATGTATCGGAGCTGGGGTCAAGCACCATGTAGGGAAGTCTCGGTTCACGAATCAAGACATCGAAAACACTCACAAACCAAAAAAAGGTACCTGAGAAAAGACTGTTTTTAGTTGCCGGGTCCAGTCACCTAGTGTTCGGATATGCACACTTAGGTAGTCATCTCCTGGTGCCGAAGTTATCGAAAACGGATGCCTGAACCATCGATAAGTTAGTTTATACACTATTTCCGTTGCAAAGAGAAGAGCGGTTTTTTAAGCACAAGACTCACCATTCAAAAGGCGAAACAGCTTTACAGTTCACAAACATGTATTGCCCGCTTTTGTATTTGAAGCCTTGAGGCTTCGACATATGAAGCGTCAATACGTTCCCAGGGTAAACTGCAACCTGTAAAACACACAAAAACGACCGTAAAACACTACACGAATCCCACGAAATTGAAAAAACGGATTGAAACCCATCGATATCCGGCATATTAACGCCATTTTGTGATAATTATGGTAACGACCCATAGCAGCAGGCTTACTCAATAACCTTGAGCTTATATGGAGCTCACAAATCTAGTTTTTTTATCCATGTGGGATGGGTTGTAACAATTACCTTCTGTATCTTGACCGGCCTAACACTAGATCGTAACGCCCTGATCAATCTCTCAGCCACGTAAAGCAAGATCGGAACCGCCAAGTACATCCAAGTCTGTTGTTACCAAAAAGCATATGATTCAGTTCAATAGTCCCAAAAACGTTCATATAACGAATCTTTTAAAGTTTGTATATATATATATATACACACATATATATAAAGGGTCATGAGAGAAAACCGCAAAAAAATGAAAAACTGAGGAACACTATTCCTCTGGTAACATGCACATGCGCATACAAGTATTTGTCAAGTATGCACATGACGAGCATAAAAACCAAGAAACAGCTTCAGTTACTTGTATGCACATGTGCATACCGTCCAGATGAATGTTTATCAGGGATGTTCCTCAGTTTTTCATTTTTTCGGGAGTTTTCTACTAAACCTCCCTCTCTCTCTCTCTATGTATATATATCTTATATGTTATGTACGTATACTCACCGTTTTCTTGTACCATTCCTTGGTGAGGTAAAGTTTGATTCCGTGGACTATAAGCAAGGTATAGACGATAATGAATAGGTGATGGGAGTACCAAAAGGCGTTAAAACCAGTGAGTTTCTTTAGCGGTTTGGGTAGGTTGAGTCGGCCACGCCTTAGCCACGGGGTTGCTAGCGTAAAGGCTATAGCCATTAGAACCACCATTATGATCCCGGTATACCCTTCGGCTCCCTTCACGAAATGCCAATAGCTATCGGGTTGCTCCCCGAAATACTGAATCATCGGTTCGTACTCCTCTTCGGTTGCACTAATAAGTCTCGGGAAATCACAGGCTAAATGTGAAATAGCGTGAAGACCGACTCCGAACATGATCCCGACTGCAATCACCTAGTAACACCGCAGAAAGTTTAGTGCAAAACATTGGTAAATTAATGAACTACATATATATCGTGTGTGTTAAAGGCCCCAGATCGGCTAGATTTGGATCTTTTTACTTCAATATATATATATATACATATATATACATATATATATACATATATATATATATTGGAACCTCGTTTCTCTCAAGGGCTTTTTTGGAGAGTAATCTGGGGTACCGCATATTTCTACATGGTATCAGAGCCGATATCTTCCATCTAGTAGATTTGTGCCCGTTTGGCCTCCGTTGGAGGAGCGTTTGAATCTAATATGCCCAACACGAAGGATAAAGAAGCTCACTTTGTGGAAATTGAGGTTATCGTCAAAAGGAACAACGACACCGAGTTTCGTCTTGTTCCGAAGCCACGTGATGGTGTTTCGACACACGGGTAACAATATTAGAGCCATGTTTAACTTGAGGGTCTCAGCCGCGCCTTTAGCAACAGAAACACAATGTCCCATTACGTCAAATGCAGCTCGATCCTTGTACTGAAGGTACTTCCACGTAAACAAACCAGCCATGGCCCCTATCCAAAGTGTAATCACCCAACATCTTTGCCAATTATCTTGCAAAAAGTACTTAAAACGATCGTACCCTCGTCGTACGATGCTCTGATCGTTAGGGTTCCTGAGCTTCGTACTCAACATTTGGCTCAGGTTTTTGCTTTCACCTCGCACGGTTTGGGTGGGCGATTGCAACAAAAGCGTCTCCAAGTTCTCGATCTGGATTCAAGATTGCAAATTTGTATCATTAATCATAAAAGCTTCGTTTATTAATGAAATGTGTCGAACTTTAACGAATTAAAATGACGAATTATGTCTACCATGATGTAACCGAGATTCTCGGGGTCCAATTCTTCCATGATCAACGCTGCATATTCATCGGCTTGTTTCTGAATGTTCGATAACTTGTTTGCTGAAGCACTTAGGCCTATAATCTGTATTATATGAACACCAAATAACCGGTTATTTGTGTTCTTCGTCGAGAATAACCGAAACTCAACTTCCAATTTCTTGGGGGGAATCTTTTTATACTCCCTCCGTCCCAAAATAAATGTCCATAGGAAAAAAGACACACAGTAAGATGGGATTTCGAGACTATATAAGATAAAATGTGTATTTAGGCTATGTTTGATAAACTAGCTAATAAGCCGTCTATTAGGCTTAATAGTTAAAGCTAGTTGTTAGCTGACAAGCTTATGCATAAACTAGTTATATTGGTAAAAAAAATTATCTGATAACGGGATCGAAAAAAGCTAATCAGACGGAAATCGATAAGGGTTCGTACCTCTCGGACTTCGGCTTCGGTTATCCTGCCATCTGCATCTTTATCAACCCTAAATTTATGTTCTTGAATTAGTTAAAATGTTCATTGAAAACCCATTTGATTTTGATGAAATAATAAATAAATTCATGAAAAAATAGAGAAATGGTTAATAGACAAATACAAGGGGGTGTTTGGGATTGCTTATAAAAACAACTGACTTATTCCGGTGTGATATCGGTAATAAGCATTTTTTTGAGTGTTTGGATAAACAACTTATACCGGTACCAAACTGGTAATAAGAAAATTTTGAAGAAGTGAGTCTAACTTATAATAAATTGACAAGCACTTTTGCATTAGTTGCTTCAGATAAACAATCTCAAACACCCCAAAGTCTAAAAATGGCTATTTTAATTAATTTATAAAAAATTATTATAAATTCTCACATATCAAAGAAGGTTTGAAGCCTTGAATCGAAACTTTGATCCACAATTTGGTCCCAGAACTCCTTCAATTGTGCTTTGTTAATCAAGTCGCCGGTAATGTTCCGTCTCCGGCTAAGTGCATCGAAGAGTTCGCCGGCGAAGTCCTTTGAATCCTTGTTCATCCCTGCCGGAATTTTAAAAACACGGTGAATAACTAAAACGGAATACAGAAAAAGACGAAGAAGAAAAAAGTGATCGGAATTATGGCTTACCAATGCATTCTCCGAAAAGTGCCCGTGGAAGTAAGCCGGTGGTGGCGGCGGTGAGTTCATCGAACCGCTTCTCCAACGCGGCCCACGCCGCCGCGCCGTCGGTTTTGGTGATAAACTTCAGCCCTTTCAAAGCATGAGTCGCGGCTGACTTATTCCGATCGAAATGACCGGCTTGTGGTCGTTTCGAATACGACGTCAACCGCTTAAGCTCCTCCGACACCTGTCGGATTCTCGCCGACGCATTTCGAACCACCGTCGATCCCAACGAAGACCTCTTCTCCAACCCTTTAGCCAATAAAGTCAGCTCCGGATCCTCCATGTCACCACCGCCGGCGGTCTTAACACTGTGAACCGCCACCGTATCTTCACCAACATCCAAAGTGATCTCAACGTAATCGTCACTATTCCGAGATTTAACACTTCCGCCGGCGCTGCTACCACCGCCGTCCTCCGGGATATTAAACCTAGCACTTTTACGAGTACCTCTTTTGTTCAACGGACCACTGAACGCCCTCCGATCAGCTCCGACGACTTCCGTATCTGAGTGGCGGTTACTACCCATCTCTACAAATCCTTCTCTACCATCATCTGTACCCATTTTTTGCATCTGAATCAAACCCAAATCAAGAGAATCCAAATCCCAAATTCACCCAACAAAATTCTGGGAAAACAACAAACACCCAGAACAATATAACCGATTTGATTGAAGAAATTCCCAAAATACGAATCGAACTTTTTGGATTTTTGAAGAGATCAAGTAAACCTTGAAGTTCTGTGAGGGTTGAAGATGTACGGAAATGGTGGGATTTGAAGAAGAGAATATATAGAAATGGATATGGAAGATTTTTTGGAGGTGGGGTTGTTGAAATGAGTCTACAAAAGGCAGCTTCTGCACCATCTTCGTTCTGGAAGAAGGGTCCGAGTTATCGGTAGTGTGTTTTAGAGAAGGAGTCAACGGTCTCGACTAGCATTTGATCATGTCAAATTGACGCTAATTAACGGTAATTTGGATTATAAAGTCATTAAATATACTTTAATTACATGGAATAAATAATAAGTGCATTATATATGTATGGGCCTTTCTTGTAAATCATGTGATTTTTTTAAATTTTTTTATGTTTTAAAAAAAAAATACACGTCAAAAAGTTTCACGTTATGAACTAAATACATATAAAACAAACTAGTGATGTATCCGCGCGATACAGCACGGATGAATCACAATTCTAAAACATTAGTTTAGCCTTTAATCATAAGTTTGTGTGATTATTTTACAAGTCAACTAATATATAAAGTTGAAGGTTAACATGGTGTATTAACAAGATCGATTAAAAAAATAATTACACGCATGTTGAGTTTCTAAACTCATATAAAGTTGAAGGGTTGGGGGTGGGTGCATGCATGATCTGAAACCCTTTATGATATTGTTGCTTCAAATTTCAGTGTACTTCAACATAAAGAAGAACTTTGAATTTGGGTTCATAATAAGAAACAAATAGAGTGTCAAACAACTTTGAGAAGAACAAACATATATTTTTCATGTAAATACGGCTTACTTAAATCTGAAACTTTGACCAAACAAATGGTATGTTTTAAGCATTTGTACATTACGCATTATAGTTTGTACTTAAGAGATTTTTGAATCTCTTGCATAAAATGATAGTACTTTATGCTTTAAAACTTGTAATTAAGACTTTTGTCTAAATGTTTACTAATGTAGTATAGATAGATTGTGAAATGCACATAGTGAATAATAAATGTATTTATATTATCGGAGACGTTCTTGAGAACTCTGTAAATTGTGTGATCTTTGAGAACCAGTGTATAATGTGATATTTTGATATGATTTTTTTCATCTGAGGTTGTAATTTAATATATTAATTAACATATTTTTGTTTCACATGTACTAGATTCACAATATGAACTTTTTTGTGTGTGTGCTTTATGAAACAAAAAATACACATAAAAAAGTTTCACATTGTAGACTAAATATATGTTAAACAAATATATTGTAAAACAAATATATGTTAACAAATACATTTAACACTATATTTAGACAGATTGAAAATAATATGAAACAAAATCTTAAAGTAGAAACTATTACAAATCTCATTAATTAAAGAGTCTCAAATAATTAAACTTTATGTTTAATTAAAAATATAAAAAATAAAGATTTTAAAGCTTTATGTTTTTAATAGAATTTAAAAAAATAGAGAATAGTTGGCGGAGTTAAAGGATAGTTTATCGAATACTTACTCGGTAAGTGTCTATCGGTAAAATTAAACATTATCATGCATCGTATCCAACAATTTACCCGGTAAATATTTACCGTGGTAAGAGTCATCGTTCTCACTTACCGGGCAAGACTCTTGGTCCTTGTCTCGTTCTTTTCGGGCAAGATTCGTGGTTCTTACCATGTTCATTTGATAATGTAATGTGACTTAGTAAGCATTTACCAAGATAACCGTTTGATAAACGGCCCCTTAATTATTTGTTACCAACGAGATTAAATATATTATATTATTTTATATAAAGTCTTTAAAAATTGTATTTAAATGGTAAATTTATCTGATATTTTTCAATAATTAGAATTAATGTTGAAAAACTCTAAGATCGGTGGCTGGTTAGAGGATTTGTTTTTTGATTAACATGTATATTCAACCCACTATACGAGCCGATTAATCCTAGGGTGATTTTGCGGATAGTCCAGAGTCACCGTATTTGAACCTCCGTGGTCACGATAGGATTTTTATTTCTCATTGGATTTGAACCTGTTAGAGATTTTGTTGAGGAGGCTCTTAGAAAATCAAGAGCGTCAAATGGTTCAATGATGCCCTGAAGTCTGGGTTCGTTTCCTATAAATCTCGTAACTCGTATACTGGATTCTTTAGCCTCGGAATTAGAGACGATGAAACTGTTAAGGGCGTTTTTAACCATTGTGAATGCTTTAACATCAATAACCGTTGATTTGTTACCGTAGACGAAGATCCAAAAGTAACCATTTATATCAACCATAATTCATGTGGAGCTTAGCGCTGTAAACTGAAGTTGGCACCATCACTTCTCAGTGAAGCTGATCGAAGATCTTTTCAAGTTGTCGCTTCATCGGCTAACATTGCAACATATGGAGTAATTAATTCTGCTACTGTTTTTTTTTTATTAACCTGGATATCCAACCTGTTATGCAAGCCGACTAATTTTAGGACGACCACCTGTTTTGCAGATAGTCCGGAGTCATCGCATTTGAACCTTTGTGGCCACAAGAGGATTTTTATTTCTCCTTGAATTTGAACATGTGACCTCCTAGTATTTTTGACCTTTGGAGCCAAACTCAAACCAATCAGAAACCACCCTTGTGGTTTAATTTTGCTACTATTAGGGTCAAGAATGAGAACTTTTGTATATTTTTTAATTTTTTATAATATTTTCAAATTTATATTTTATTTAAAAAAATATTATTGTTTGTTCAACCACATAAAATTGTATTATAGCATCAAGCAGAGACCAAAAAATAAAATGAAAAATTAGAATCGAAACATATCTCGTTGCGTTATATGGGTACCATTCTGGTTATATTAAAAGTAATAATATAAACCAAAAGAGTGGTGTCTGATTGGTTTGAGCTTGACTCCAAATGTCAAAAGTATCAGAAAGTCTCAAGTTCAAAGCCAATGAATAATAAAAATCCTCTTGTGGCCACAGAGATTCAAATGCGATAACTTCAAGCTATCTACAAAACATGTGGTTTCCCTAGAATTAGCAGATTCACATAACGGGTTGGATATCAGGTCAATAAAAAAATAATAATAATATAAAAACATATTTGCATGACTCAATTATTCTTAACGAACTTATTGCAATTGTTGACTACGTGACCAGTCAACTTTTGCCAAATTCAACTGTGGATCCACTTGCTTCTAAACGTACAAGTTTCCAAGCGTTTTGTACAACCATCTTTTGGTCAATTTTGTTATCTTTTTGTCATTTCCTCGAACCATGGTTCGAATATTTCAAGACGGGATAAAGTTGATTAAAAGCCACCACAACGTCGTCGTATTGGTAAATCAAAAACCAATCAACACAAAACCGAAAAATATAAAATAATGAATTCAAAAAATAAATGTAACTTTAGGGGCGGATTCAGTAATAATTTAGGCATGTTGAGAATATGTGGAATACTGTTAAGGGGCGGATTCAGTAATCATTTAGGCATGTTGATAATATGTGGAATACTGTTAGGGGGCGGATTCAGTAATAATTTAGGCATGTTGATAATACGTGGAATACTGGTAGGGGACGTTTTGTTTGATGAAATGGTTTTGAAAGATTTGAATTTTGTAAAAAGATTTGGATTTGAAATCGTTAATGTTATTAGAATACACATTAAATATCTAATTAGGTTAATCAAATACATTTAAAAAATACGTTTTATTGTTGTTTTATAATTGTTTTTCAATCAAATGCACTTAAAAATTATGTTTTTTTATAGTTTTGTAATCGGTTTTCAATCAAATACATTTAAAAAACATGTTTTATTGTAAATTTATAATTTGATTTTCAGTCAAATACACTTAGAAAGCTATAAATACATTTAAAAATACATTTTTTTAATATCCGGCCGGTCACGAGACAGGCCTTGTTTTTTTTATGAAAACCATAACTGGTCCTTAACTGGCTGTCCTAAACCGGTCCCAATCGGTCCCGGCCCATTTAGCCATCTCCACTGAACAACATACCAGATCATTAAAATAACAGTAAGGCAATAAATATATACATTATGACAACCAATACACCGAAACATACATGTCTCTATTTGAACATGTAATGTAAAAGTATGTCGATATTTATTGTTTGTTGACACTTTATTTAATAGTGTTCTGAATTGTTGGTTGATCATTCATCACCGATAATTCTCAAGTCATATTCCATAAAACACTTTTGCTCTATTTTTTATCGTTGAATATAATATCGTTCAATCCGTCCAATTCCAACTTCCACGCGGAGTTTGAAAATACTTTATTTTCAATAATTTGTATTGAATCTTATGATTCTTTTCCAGATATATTACATTCCGTATTTCATTAATCGAGCAATTTATAAACAATCGACACCTTACTTTACATCATATATGAGGTTACAGCTATCATAGGTAATAAATGATATATAATATATATATATATAGAGAGAGAGAGAGAGAGGTGATTTATTATACAATTCACTACATTTGTACAACTAATACAATTCAATATCAATCATCCATTTAATTTGATGAATACGTGATCTTATAAAAGTTTTGATTGTTTCATAATATAAAGTATTGATCATAATTAATAAACCTAACTTCCGTAAATATTCAAATCAAATCGTAATACATGAACTATCATCATTTCCATAAATATCTCAATTGATTGGGTTGCATTAGTTGTACACATGTGATGAGTTGCATTTGAAACTGTCATCTCTCTCTCTCTCTCTCTCTCTCTCTCTCTCTATATATATATATATATATAGGGTTGGGTTCACGTGAGACCACATGTTTTTTCATGAGACCCGTAAGACCAATTTATGTCCATTGATCAACTTTATAAGCTAATGATCTAATGGTCTATAATTGCACAGTGGCAATTTTGTGATTATGAATGTTCAGGTTGTAGATCTAATCCAAAGGTTGAGAATTTGTCTTACGGGTCTCACGGGTCTCACGAAATCCCTTGTTCTCACATGATCCCAAGTATGTATGTATGTATATATATATATATATATATATATACACACACACATATATATATATATATATATTTATTTATTTAGAGACATGTTCTTTTGTTAACC